CCTTCCTGCCTTCCTGCCTTCCTTCTTTCCTGCCTTCCTTCCTTCCTTCCTTTTTTTTATATATATATATCTTTATTGATTTCAGAGAGAGGAAAGGAGAGGGAGAGGGAGAGAGAGAGACAGAAACATCAATGATGAGAGAGTCATTGATCAAGCCCACAACCCGGGCATGTGCCCCGACCGGGAATCGAACCCCAATCGCCTAGATCCTAGGTCGACACTCAACTGCTGAGCCACGCCCGGCCGGGCTCCTTTTTTTTTTTTTTTTTTTTTTTTTAATGATCATACACTTGAATGATGTTAGGCCAAAGTCTAACAAACCTTGGGGCCATTCGGTCTTTTAAGATAATTTTGAATAATCCTGCATTCATCCATGCTGCGTGGATTTCATTGTTTGATTCATAGAGAACAGTTTTATTTCTCTCATTTCTAAGTTGTTGAGGGACATAAAGCAGCTGTCCCCTGGCAGATTATTGCTATTCTCATTTTATGAGGAAAGGAAACTAATGCTCAGGAGTTACAGCACTAGCAAGTAATGGACCTCTGGAGAGCCGCCTGATGCCCGAGCCCACGTGCCCGCCCCTGCCCATCACTGCCTCTGGACACTCAGCCCCGTCTTTCTGGCAGGGACTGTTTTGGTGTGCTGGACTGTGAATGGTGCATGGTGGACAGCGACGGGAAGACTCACCTGGACAAATCCTACTGCGCGCCCCAGAAAGAATGCTTTGGGGGGATTGTGGGAGCCAAAAGTCCCTACGTGGATGACATGGGAGCAATAGGTATGTTTGTTGGGAACCCATAATAATTTGATTCTTGAATACACATTTTCCTGTCTGCATACTAGTACAGAAATCTTAAAACGATCTCTGCTTCCCTGATTCCTTTGCCAGTAGTTTTTAGTTACAAAACCAAGGCAGATAATTACCTTCAAAGCTGGCTAGATATGCTGTGCAGAGTGAAGAGCCGTTGGTCCTGCCACATTTTGCAAGCCTGGAATTCGTTCCCTTAAGGCTCACCTGAGAAATATCAGGCCTGATCTCCACGTGGGTGAACCCTAGAGCTCGTCTGAACGTGAGTCCCAGCTGTCAGAAGCGCAGGGCCGATGATAGGCGGAGTGACCGCTGCTCATCCATTTCCTGCTGCCACTGTCCCTCACGACTTTTGCAGACGTGGAAGTCTTGTGGCTACAAATGATTATTTAGAGCCTTTGGGTCAACAGAGGCCAGAGCTACCCAATGAAGCTGGAGTGCTTAGGGTGGGCGACAGAGACACTGGAGGGAAGAAGGCGTCTAGAATCAGGCCCCAGGACCTCAAAAATGCTACCTGCATCCCACAGCGAGATCTTCTCAGCGTCTTTACGGAGTTAGCACAGACTCCTAAAGCTCAGGGGCATGTGAGGCAGCTGTTCAAGCCTTTCGTTAAAGCCTGGATTATTGACCTCTCCCCGCATCAGCCTGCCTGTAGAGGAAGCTGCAGTGTGGGGAAGGGTGCTGAGCTCACATGTTAGCCCTGACCCGGGTTAGCACACAGTGGGAGTGACCTCGCTCTGAGAAGTCGCTGTATATGCCCACCTGCAGCTTTCTGTCTAAAAAGTGCATGAAGGGTGCTTCAAAGGAAGCCCATAAGCTTTGAAATGCGATCTTTTTAGCACATACTGATTATTCCTGGTGCCATTTATTTCCGTGAACTCAGTCACGTGACCCCAAAGAGGCCCACGTCGCCCTCCCCTCCCTACTTCTCGCCCAAGAGCAGCCCCCGCCCCAGGGAGCTGGGCCTCGGCACTGGCCACCGCACATTTAAGTGGCTCTTGTCTACTCGCTCGTGTTACCTGAGCTTGCTAATCGTGTTCTTGCTCTGTTGGGCAATTAGCATTTCATTTGAGAACCGGGATCTAAATGAAGTCACTGCTGCCACATTCTGGTGGGTTTTCTTTGAGGGATTCAAAGCTCAAACAGCTCATCCTCACCAAACCCCTTCCCGCTCTGCTCCTTCCCATCTCGCCCCACCCCCACCTCCTAACACCACACTTGGGAAATCGTGACAAGGGACGTCTGTCTGTCTGTTCCCATGCAGGTGACGAGGTAGTCACACTGAACATGATTAAAAGTGCCCCGGTGGGCCCCGTGGCCGGAGGCATCATGGGGTGCATCATGGTGCTGGTCCTCGCCGTGTACGCCTACCGCCATCAGATTCACCGCCGGAGCCACCAGCACATGTCTCCTCTGGCCGCCCAAGGTGAGCTCCAGGGGCCGCAGACCGCCTCCGGCGGGCCCAGGGCTGGCGGGGTGGGGCCGATTGCGCGAGCCTCTCGGCAGCTACGAGAACAGCGCTGCACTTCCAGCTTCTCCAGGGTGCATGCAGGGGACCCAAAAGTCTGCTTTCCTCCTTTGGCCCCTTTTGATCCCCTAGGAAATTCCCGGATCCTCTCTCTTCTTACCCAGCACTCGCCCCCACGACCTGCTCTAGAGCAGGCCAGCCAGGGAGCCCGAATGCCCACGGGGATTTCACTCAGCTCAGACGTCGCCTTTGCCGTTCCCAGAACACTGGCAAACAGAGGAGCCCCGGGTCACTGTTGGCAAGAACACGGGTCGTTCTATTGCAGCGGTTATTATATAGTTTATTATATATTTTTGTGAATGAACACACATTCTCAGGAATAATCACATCTCTTAAAGCAAGATAGGTGAATGAAGCCAGGTACAAAAGGATTAATCTATAATCCTGGCATCCATGCCAAGAGTTCGATGTGGAATCTGTGTTCCTTTGCAAGGGACAAAACCATTTAATGGCCACACACACACACCCTCCTTCCTAGCCTGAGCTGTCTGGAGATCGGGCTGATCCAGCATTCCTCCTGGGCTAGATCAGGAGCCACCGGGCTTGCCTTGCAGCAGTAAAGACAGGTGACATTGGCATGTGTGTGACCCCAATCCTGATGGAGGGGGATCCTGGGTCAGTGCTGCCTGATTCAGCAACAGGGCTAAGCGCACAGCTCTTTCCGCTCAGTAAGATCCGGTTAGACTGAGGATGGCTGCCCTCCGCTGTGACCATGTGCCTGACCTTCTATAAGGTGGTGAACCACCACTTACCAGCCGGAGCCTGAGACCCCTTCCTTCTGTTTCGGGTGCTTCAGCAGTGTTGTTAGTCTCTGTCAGCCTCTCCTCTTTCTTCTGAAATCCATGTCAGGTTCGGGTGTTCGCTAGTTCCCCCTCTTGATCTCCTCTGTAAAAAATAATATAATAATAGTAAGATGGGGCATCGGTTTCTTTTTTCCAAGATAGGATCCGTTCTTGACGGAGTGCTGTCACCCAGCCATCAGACGAGCACGCTGCGGGGTGTTAAAGCCGTTGATCTTGTCTGATTAAATAGTCATGTTTCTCTCTTTTTCACGGTGGGTAGAAATGTCAGTGCGTATGTCCAACCTGGAGAACGACCGAGATGACAGAGATGAGGACAGCCACGAAGACAGAGGCATCAGTGAGTGCCGCGGGGGGCGACGGCGGGAGGCTGGTCCAGAATAAATATTCCTTTTCATGTCCTTTTGGCTTGTATTAAAATTTCATAGCCTTTGACAGGATGGGGTCCTTTCGTTAGGAATACGTGTAGGTGTTTGCTTTGTTTTAGAAACTCTCAAAAGGTTTCACGGGATGTTCTTTTTGGATTTCAGTGCTTTGGCCTAAGACCCCTCACACCCTTTCATTTCTTTCTGCCCATCATTGCCCAGCGTAGTGTTCTAGAAAGGGAATCTTCGGGTATGCCTTTTTTTTAAATCCCTAAACTAATGTATACAACCCAGGGGGATGGGGGGAAGGAGCATTTCTTTATCAAAAGAGAGTTCCCTTCCTGTTGAGATACCTTAGGCTTCAAGCACTTAGAGCCCATCTTCTTGATGCCTGCTGGGGGTGGGTAACTAGGGACCGCTCCCTGCCCCAGTTCTAAAACCAACGCCCCTAATCCTCAGGAATTTTTAAAAATTACATACTCTAGCTCTCCACAGAATGACCCCAACACGTAAATGAGCCCACTCAGAGAAAATGCCCTTGACACAGTGAGGACACAGGCATACGAGTGACTGGCTGTCCTTGCCTTCCGCAGTCAGCAATACCCGGTTTATAGCCGCGGTCATCGAGCGACACGCCCACAGTCCAGAGCGGAGGCGGCGCTACTGGGGCCGATCGGGGACGGAGAGTGACCATGGTAAGACCTGGCTTCCTCCCGGGTGCCAGGGCCCAGGATCCCGGTGGACTCCTGGGCCAGTGCTCGCACCCGCTCTTCTCTCTCTTTCCTGGTCTGTGCTCAAGGAAATGACTTTGACATAGTTTTCAAAAAAGACACATTCCAACACGACACTTTTACAGGAGCCCAAGGGTGGCTTTGCGCGTGTCTCAGCACTCCTGCCAGATGGCTTCTGGGCACACAGGTGGCTGCCTAGGTTCTCGCCGTGAGTAAGGATTCAGATTGAATGAAACCTGCTTACCACCCCACGGGATTCCCCACAAACTGGCAGCCTCACAGGTCCTGCTCTCCAGTGTTGTTAGTTGGCAAACACCAGTGTCATCAGGGGCTCTCCCAGGCACGTACTTATGGGACATGCCAAGAGTCCACGCTGTCCTCTGGCATTCCCCACTCCGACCTCCAGCCTTGCCTGGGAGTCTCAGGGAAAGTTTCATTTAAGAGACATTTGCACCCTAGCCAGTTTTGCTCAGTGGTTAGAGCATTGGGGTGCATGCAGGTGGCAACCAATAGATGCTTCTCTCTCACATGGATGTCTCTCTCTCTGTCTCCCTTCCACTCTCTCTGAAAAGCAATGGGAAAACTATCCTCAGGATTAAAAAGAAAGAGACAATATTTGCTCTAGGCCTTGAAGGATGAAGAAAGAAAGTGAGGGGCAAAGGGACTAGTGTGTACAGTCACGGAGCTGTATAGAGTAGCTGTGGGGTGCTCAGGAGCGCTCCAGGCTGAGTTGTGAAAAGGCACTGAGCACCAAATGAACTATGAATGATAAAATCCACACCCTGCACCAAAGATGTGGCTGCCGCTTCGCTGCTCACCTTCCCTGTGTCCATGGGGCTTGTCGTCACAGAGAACAGCACTTTTTATTTTTCATATAGCTATTTAAGTTTCTGGAAGTATTTATTTTCTTCCCAGAATCAGGGTTCTTTTAATGCATAAATAATGCATTTATTTGACTCTGCTTTCTCCACATCTACCCTGAAAAGAAAACAAAATAAAAACATGTCTTCAAACAGAGTGTTCCCTCCCACACCTGTGCTAAAAAATGCAGGAGCAGGTGTTCGTCAGAGCAGCCGACGTGGCCTTTTACACGACAGCCAGGTATTCAGACTCCCTTTGGAAAATAGGAGCTCAGGCTCTGGTTGTAAATTGGAGACTGTTAATTTGGGTTTTGAATGGCATTGTCCCCATCAACTAAATAGAAATGTTGCGTTTCTATGGAGAGTCAAAGCAGAACTTAAATTTTTCAGTTTCTCTGACTTTCTGCCTTTTTTCCCTAAAAACCTTTGAACATTCTATAAATGCATTCTGCCAGGCAGTTCTGTGCCTCTTCTCCTTTGAATAATAAAACAGGTTTGAGGCTACTCAAGTTCAACAGAAATAATTTCTTATTCAGCAGAAATACTGAGCTCCCTCTCCCTCTCCCTCTCCCTCTCTCCCCCAACAGAAATTACTTCAATACAGAATTGGAATTCTGAGTGACAATGTTCCATTAGCTCTCCCATTGTCTTAGTAAAATGGCAGATTAAGCAACACTTAGATAAAAGGAACAGAACAGTGTCAGTATCTGAAAGCCAAGGAATCTAGTGAAGGGCTTGCTTTCTTTCGTTTTTCAGAACAATTGGATCCCTGTTATCCCCCAGGAATAAAAAAATAGTTTCTCGTGCAGACAGAATGCAACACTAAAAGAAGTGGAAGACATTGACATTCCACATAATTCCAGTTGCACTACAAAATCAATAGCATTTAACAGTGTGTTGTCATAGCCCCGAACCCATACGGTGGGTCACTAAAATTGGTGGCACCGAGTTAACATCCCTGTCACGCCTAGAGGATAAGCCTTTTGCCCACATTGAAACAGGGATCTAATCTGATTGTCCTGTCAGCACACTTCTTGCTCATCTGTGAATTCCCCTATGTGGTGACTGTATTGGCATCTGTTATTTGCTAGGCACAGGGGAGGGAGTCAGAGAAGGGGGGGTTGTCATGGTGCAGAAGAGCTTGCTTATAGAAGGTCAGCAAAACTCACTTGGAATCTCCCCTCCCCAACCCTGTACAAGTTTTGAGACCTTAGCCAAGCTCCTTTGGACCTCAGTTTCCTAATTATTGAAACAGGATTAGAAATTCCTCCCCAGTGAAGTTGTTGTGAGGAGTAAATGAAATAGTGTATGGCAGAGAGGAGCTCAGGTTGACCCCACCTCCACAGCCACTCTGCCCTCGAGGAATTTACAGTCTGGAGGAAACAGTAAATGAATGCATGTATTCATGACTGATAAACTGAATATGACAGCTTCCTTAAAGGAATGACCCAAAGAAGAAGATGGGGAGATAGTCGTCTTTTTATCTGCAGGGAAATCGTGGAAGACCCCAGGAGGGGGAAAGTGGCATGTGCTGGCCCTTGAATTTGTAGGATTGCAGGACCAGGGTTCTTTGCTACTCAGTGAACATATTTTCACAAGAGTCTTGGCGTCTGATACACAAAAGGAACTCAAAAGAATAACATAGATAAATATATAAACACCAAACACACTCGACTTTGTGGTATGGTTCAGACTTGTGAAGTTCCTAGAATTAAAATTAAATGTTACCAGGCTAACCTTGGAAACACTCAGGCTGCATTTCTTATTTAGTGTGGCCAACAGAGTTTTGTGTTTCAAAGGAATTTAATTTTAACTTTTTTATCTTAATAAAAAATTCTATTCAAAGTAAGAATGGTTTTTGAAAGGTAGAATTATCTTTGTCAATATCCTAAGCCCACCTAGAACGATTGTTTTCAGCGTCCAACTTATTACCTGTTACTGTCACAGAGCAGGTTAAAAACAGTTACTATCGTTCTATACTTTTAATTATGTATCTGCTTTGTACATTACTTCTCTTGAAAATATCATCTTCTGTCTAATCATCTGCTGGCTTATTTTTAAATTAAAAACCACCGATCTATGTTTGTGCCTTCTGAATCTATGTTTTGGTTACCATCTCATTAGAAACTTTATGCATATGTATGTGAAGCAACATTGTTTGTCTTTGCAAGAGGGAAATTTTCCCCTAGTGAAGCAAATTCCAAAAGATTCAAAAGGCAAATACTGAACCTTGAAAACCTGGTCAAAAACCGCATAGTGCAGCCGGAGACCATTTTCTAGAGGCGCAGATGTTGTCCTGCAGTTACTCTCTGTGGCCACAAGGTGGCGAGTGAGTCCCCTGAGAGCCGACATCCCTCACCGTCAGGAGAGGTTTCTTAGAAACCGTCAGCTGAATACGAGCAGAACACCAAAGAGCAAAGCCTGACTTTGACCCTTCTGTTCTTAATGCACGTATGACTTCCTTCCTGAAGCCTGTTTCTTGATTGAGACCCTCTTTGCAGAGACTTTCTTTCATACACCTTTGGACAGTAAAGACATTTTTCCTTTGAAAGTATTTGTACATGTCCTTTGTGTTTTAAATAGTGCTTCCTCCCTCATGAGTCAGAGGTGGCGTCTGTCTTACTCATTCATCACTGGTCCCAGGGCTCAACAGAATTGCGTGGCACCCAGTATACAATTGTTAAGTGAGAGTATCGCCTGCTTCTGCACACTTGCTACTCCCTTCCTCCAGATTTTCATTAATTATTGAGATAAGGGGAGGCCTAGTTTACAGAGGGATTGAGCACATTAAATAGAATGGCCTCACAGTGAGAGGTTCACTTTGGAAGGGCCTCTGCTGGGGTTCTCATCAGAAAGCATCAGGAGAAATGGGGGTGCCCCCAAGTTGCCTCGGGGACAGCTGCAGCATCCCCACCAACCTGGGCCTGTGACTGGTCAGGTCCAGAGCATCCCTGGGCCCTAAGTCAGAATCCCCCGGGCAGGGCCCAGGGAATCCTAGATTGTCTTCATTATTAGGTGAGACTGGTGAATGTCACCACAGATAACTTTTAAAAAATTCATTGATGCCTTTGCTTTGGGAATATGTTATGTGAATTTTTTTTAAGTAAGTGCCTGCTTTGTGTGAGTCATTGCATTGACTATTAGGAGTACAAAGATAAATAAAAGTAAGTCCCTGTGTTTTTTTAGAAAGAACTTGCTAATAGATAAGACAACCTGATATTTTATTATAATATGGTAAAATATAACATAGAGGTGTGCACAGAATATCATTTAAACTCACAGAAGGGACACTGGGCTGGGGGTTGGGGTGTTGGTTGGCAGAGCTTCCCAGAGAAGACCCTCAGACTGAAGCGTGAAACACAATAGCAAGGTGAGGGAAGGTGGGAAGGTGAGCCAGGACCACCGTGGATTTTATATCATGAATATGAAGATGAAGATGAATTATCAGTTACTACGGGTGAGTGTAAGTAAGCAGAGACAGGAGGCTGCCTGGGAGTGTTTAGAGGAAAGATGAAGACAACCTAGCACTAAAGGTTGGCCAAAGATAACACAGACACTGAACTTTCACTAAGACCAGGTTTTCCACTTTAGTCCCTAATATGTAGAGCATATGGTGGCTTAAGCATATGTAGCACTTTGTAACTGAGGTGGTAGGGCCTACCATCCAGTCTTTTATTCTAGACACAGCTGAGAAACTCATTCTGGTCCCTGATCTCTTAGTCTTGGGAGAAAGCATCACAATTTCCCCAGTCCCTAAACCTAGAAACCTTGACCTTATCTGAGGGTGTCAACTCTCTTGTCCTGTGCACCAGGCAAATCCATTTAGTCGCCAAATCCAGCCCACTCTGCACTTGAAGAGTCCCTTGAAGCCCGTGGCTGCCCCACTGAAGCACTGCAGCTGTCCCGTGTCAGGCCCTCGCCATCTCCTCCGGCTGACGCACCAGCCCCCTGTCGTCTGAGCCTCTGGTCACTCTTTCCTTCTGTCCAGCCTCTTCATTGCCACGAGGGGTCACCTTGACACACGACACGTCTTTGCCCTTTGCCTCCCCTTGCTCATTACCGAATCCTAATGCGTAGCTTCGACCGGCCCTGTTGACCTGGTCTAGTCTCCCCGTCCAGCCGCATCTCCCGTGTCCTCCCGCGTCCTGTGCTCTTCACCGCGGGTCTGTCTGCACGTGCTCCGCTCCCTGTCTCAGGCACCTTTCCTCCGCCTTTCTTTTCCCAATAAACCCTCCTGTCCCAACAGGGCCTCCTTAAGTATCACCTCCTTAGGTATCCTAGGGCCTTTTCACAATATTGTGTTTTCTCCATTTTCTATGCTTTGGCATGGCCTTGATGATGTGACTGGATCTCACCTTCCCACCTTCCACCTGCTCTGTTCTCCGGCTACCTGCTGGCTCACATCCTAGCCGCACGGTACAGGAATGTCCTGAGGTTTCCACACCTCTGTAGCTGTGCATCCCCACTTACCAAACTCCTACTCATCCGTCTAAGCCCAACTAAAACTATGCGTGCTTCTGTGACACATTCTCACACCCCCAGCTAGACGCAGTTGCTCCCTGCTCTGGATTTTAACTATACCTCAGTTACAGTGTTTTCCATTGTCTGCATTACAGTAAGCCCAGCTTCACGAATATCTGTCTCATACTTGGTTGTGAAATCCTTAAGGAAAAGAGACGGCTCCTATTCATGTTTTATAGTCTCCCCCTCCCGCCCCATAATGGTCTCCAATAAATGAAGAATGAAATTGAGCTGTGTTTATACTTGTTTTCTTTCTCAAGCTTTTGAGCTCCTTGTATAGGGGCCAGGCTTTCATCTTGGTGTCTCCTGCAGGGGCCAGCGTGGTGTCTTGTACATGGTAGGTGCCCAATAAATATTTGTTGCCTTGGACCGACTTAAGTAATTCTGTCATTTGGGAAAGATTTCATTGAGGTCAGAGAACTGCCGTTATCGTTTTTGCATGGAGCACACGTTTTCAACCACCGACTGTTCCTGCGTGGCTGTGTGCAAGCACATCAGCTTTGCAGCCACAGATGTGACTAGCACTACCCACGAGTAAGTGCTGACTGATGCTAACTGTAGATGCAGCGGAAATATTAATGAGCTGTCACTTCTCAAAAATTTTAAAGGGGATTTTTGCAATATTTAAAAACATGCCAGAATTCTTGGAATGGAATCCTTTGATCAGCAAGGACATTTTCTTTTGAAACATGTATTACTTAGAATACCAAAAGAAATTAATCTTTAAATACAGGGAGCCGGCTTCCATGGAGAATAGCTGATTCCTTTGCTAGTTGCTGTGGGTGTTGGAGGAGTTGCTCTTTCATTAGGTACTGGAACCTCGGGCAGGTTCACCAACCTCTCTGATCATCGCTTCCCTCACCTGTAAAGTGGATATTAAAATACATGCCTGTTGGTGTGCAGGAGTGACCTGACATCCGTGCCTGCCAGGGAGCAGGTGTGCAGACCGTGATGGCAACTGGATTTGTTCTTACTGTTGTATCCCATTCAGGCATTTTGAAGCCCAGCTTTGCCCACCAGCTCCCAGCTGATCTGAGACCTGTTAAGGCCTTTTTCTTGAAGCTGCCTTTTTTTTCTTTCTTTCTTTAAAATATAGTCTTAATCTTATCTCAGGTAAAAGTGTAGGAGGAGAGTGCCCCAAATGTCACGGGCGGTTATCTATGGCTCAGATGGGACATGAGGAGATTTTGGTTTTTGTTTTGTTGATTTAGGGAAAGGGTTCTCGTATGTATATTTCTGATCTGGACTTTCTCAGGTGTCTGAAATGATTAGGTATTGTTTTAAGAAGGAAACGGTCAACAAAAAATCTCTTTAAAAAATAAGTCACTTGGCCCAGCTGGGTGTGGCTCAGCGGCTGAGCGTTGACCTAGGATCCAGGCGATCGGGGTTCAGTTCCCAGTCAGGGCACATGCCCGGGTTGTGGGCTCGATCAATGACTCTCTCATCATTGATGTTTCTATCTCTCTCTCTCTCCCTCTCCTTTCCTCTCTCTGAAATCAATAAAGATATATTTTTTAAAAAATAGAATAAATAAAATAAAAAATAAGTCACTTTTCAGCCCTAGCTGGTGTGCTCAGTGGTTAGAGCGTCTGCTCATGCACCCAAGGGCCATGGGTTTGATTCCCGGTCAAAGGCATGTACCTGGGTCGCAGACTCCCCGGGCCCAGTGGGGGTGCCTGTGGGAGGCAGTTGAGCGGTGCGTCTCTCACCTCAATGTCTCTCTCTACACCCCTCTCTCCCTTCCACTATCTCTTTAAAAAAAAAAAATCGATGGAAAAAATATCCTCCGGTGAGAACTGACAAAAAATTTTTTCAAAAATAAGTCACTTCACCACGTGCTGACAGCCCGCCCGCGTTTGCGCCCCTGTAGCGCAAAGATAGGAGGCCTGGTGCGCTGGGGACCCTCAGCGACCCCTCCCCGCGCCTGGGGGCTCCCCGCTTACCTGTCCTGTTCCTCTTCCAGGCTACAGCACGATGAGCCCCCAGGAGGACAGCGAAAACCCCCCCTGCAACAGCGACCCCCTGTCGGCCGGGGTCGACGTGGGGAACCACGACGAGGACTTGGACCTGGACACCCCGCCCCAGACCGCGGCCCTGCTGAGCAGCAAGTTCCACCACTACCGGCTGCACCACCCGGCGCTGCACCACAGCCACCACCTGCAGGCGGCCGTCACCGTGCACTCCGTGGATGCGGAATGCTAACGGCGCCTCCGGGAGGGAGGGCCTGGGGCACCCAGCGCGCCGGGCCACGGGCCGGCCTGCAGCCCACCGAGACGCCCCGTGTCTGGGCTTCGCCAGAGCGGCTGAACTCACGCCCTGCCTGTTCATACGTTTGGAAACGAGGGAAACGACAAAGGGACGCTTGGGAAGGGGCCAGGCTGGCTCTGCGGTGGAGGGGAAGTTAGCCTGCTGCGCGAACCTGCCGCGATCCTGGCGGAACGGAGCAGAAGGCAAACCTCCGAACGCGGAGACGGGGCCTACAAGTGAAACCCTGGGAACCTTCCTGAAGCTGAGCCAGAGGAATGTTCCGAGGGGCCAGGAACACGCGGCTGCCCTCGGGGGGACGAGGGGACAGGGCTCGGCGGGGACCGGGCGCGGCCCCGGGAGGGACTGGGCCCTGAAGGCTCCCCCTTGCTCCTGAGCGGCGCCCGGTGCCACGGTTGCTGTAAGGGACTCCTGCTAAAGCTCTAAATGATGCATCTCAAAGTTTCTAAGTAAAGGATTATTTTTCTACTATTTATTGAACTTTCGAGCATTCTCAAACTCGGGGGGAGAAGAAAGGAAACACGTGAGACGTTTTCAGCGATTATCCCTGGCTGTGTTGTGTGTAATGAAGTGGTTCTTTGACTAAGAAGTTCTGTTTTCTTATTTAACTGATACCATCCCACTGCCCCACTCTGCGAAATGGGAAAATGAAGAAATCTTTCTCTCCGACTTGTTTACACGCGTCTTCTTTAGGACATCGTTTCACGGAAACACGCCTTTATTCGTAATGCAGTCCGGTCTTCTTTCTCTGTGTTTGACAGAGGCGGGGAGGGGCGGAGACACCCAAGATGCTTTTAAAGAAATGTTGTTCCTTTTTAACACATTCCCACTCCCCACACAATGCTTTTCTTAGGTTTCTACAAAACCTAGTGTTACAACCCCAGCCTTTCAGCTAAGGGAGGGTTGTGTTTTTTTCTCTTTGTTTCAGAGACTAGAAATTTGAAAGTGTCCCATTTTGATTCTGAGAGTATTGAATGCATACAGGAAGGAGTTTTGAAAATTCAAAATTTGGATTGTGTATTAAAGATTTCTTTTGAAATCATCATTCGAAGCTGCTGCCAGTTATCCAAGAAGTTATCCACCAAGCTGCTTTGTGATGTATTCAGAGATTAATCCGATCCAGCTAACAGAACATGGCATTGTAATTTTAAAGTAGTGTTCTAATTACAGTGATGTATTTTAGATTCACATGTTGTGATTCCAATATGTTATAAAGACATTCTTGCACCGTGTGTGTGGTAAATCTCCGTTTATATGTAGTTGGGAAAAAAGTCACTGAATAATGTTTTATTGATAGGGTATTATGATATAATGTTTAAAAAAACCCGGTTCTTCGGCAGTACAGGAAGTAAACTATGTGTATCAGGAAACCCCTGATATGGAACCCCGTGTATGAAATCGCAGCCTAGTGGAATAAACTGTATGAACGGACAGTCTCAGTGGTTATAGTGATTTGTCCATGGACCACTGCTCGTGCCTTGAGGCAAATTACGTTCGCTTTGTAACCAAGCCGATCCGTTGCCAGACTGAAAGCAGGCCTCCTTTCTAGGCCGCAGTCAAGTTCAGGGGCTTCCGGACCATCTCGGATATGTGAAGAAATTTAAGAATGTCATGGGATAAAATGAAAAGCCAATATTTTAAAATGTGTGGGACGTAGCTCCCCTTCCTGAACGTCTGAATTCGTGTCGTTAATGACGAATAAATGGTGGTTCTCTAACTGCTGGAGAGAATGGATGGTTTTCCTGTCTTCCCGGAAAATTAAACCTCTCCATGGGGTGCTGGGTTTTTTCCTAAAGTGAAGAACCTTTGTGATAAGACACTAGCTTCTTAATTGGGGGGAGGGGGGGGATGGGACTTGGTGTTTCCAAGAAAAGAATCACAAAACCTAGAGTTTAAAAATAAAAAAATGTTCCCGCCTACTCAAATATAGTAACAGAAATGCATTTTGTGTCTTTTGTGATAAGAATCTCCCTTATCCTGAACATGGGGGGGAAACCCGTGAGTTCTTGTACCTGAGTAAGAAAACGACTGTGGTTTCCAGTTCCCGCAGAATGTAGGACATACAGGCCGTGGAGTTTGGGTTGGAGTTTTGATCTTCTAAGTTACCTTTTGTCTTCTTCCCTGAGCGTTGCACGTAATGTTGTTTAAACATGTGTTGTTCGTGTTGTTGTTATTTAAAAGCAAAAATGCGTCTTTGGAAACTTTTTTTCATGGTGACCAGTATCGTTTCCTTTTGCTCCCCCGACACCCTGGCTTCGTTTCACAGGCGTCTTCCCCCGAAGGCCTGGAGGGAGCGCCCGCCAGTGGCTTTTCATTCACTGAGGCCTCTGGTGCCCGTAACCAACAGTGCCTGCCGCTGCTGATAAGCACCAAGAGCTGAGGGCGGTCCAGGTCATTTTACGTAGCTAGAAAAGGAAATTGCCTGTTTGTGGCCCAAACAAACAGGGTTCAGACCCGTACCAGTTCTCGTGGCCTGTATGTGTCTGCTTTTCAGATAACGTTTATTTTAGACATTTCGGAAAATGTAGTTTTTCTTCCCCTACTTCTTGATTGAATTTGGATGCTCAACTGAACTTCATTAATATTTTTATTTGAAAGACGTTGTCAGATTTACTCAGACAGGTTTATTTTGCATGTCAGACTGGCTGGTATGCGTGGAAAGAAGTCCTGGAAGATTACTTAAGCTCGCTTCCCTTTGGCAGTGGACTGCTCTAATGATTAGTTTTTAAAACGTGTATCTGGTAAAATAATCAGACCAGGCCAGCCCAGCCTCGCCTGTGTCCCTCTTGNTGATTAGTTTTTAAAACGTGTATCTGGTAAAATAATCAGACCAGGCCAGCCCAGCCTCGCCTGTGTCCTTCTCAGTCTGTTTCTGAACGAAGGAGCAGTGATTTTCCTGGCTGCAATACAATGCCATATTCAGGATCTTTTTCTAAATTTCCAGGAAAAAAGAATCTAGTTGAAAGCTATATTTCTACGGCTATTAGTTATAACCGTAGAAGATGGTCTGTTTAATAGCTAAGGTGTGTGTCAATATATAGAGATGTATATCCATTTCAGATCCTTCTGTTTTTTTCTCCAGCCTCTCCCCTTCCGTCCTAAACTGCTCATAAGGCAACTTCTCCATCCTTGAATTCAGTGTTTCTTAACCTTTTTTTAAAAAATTCAGTATTGTCCCTCTCCCACGGAGAAAATTTTGATTTAATTTAAATTCATCCTAATGAGAAATTAAATACTAGGGGATACAATTTTGTTGGAGAGGGTGGAGCTTTGGAGGGCTACAAACCACTGTAATACCAGATTTATTTTCCTCTCCCAAGAATCAGTTTCACGCCTTGGTGGTCAGTATCGCCCCCATTTGAGAATGTGTGCCTCCCAGGTCTGTCCTCAGCCCCTTTTTTAGTGCTCGCCTGGGACAGTCGAGCGCTGAGCTGAAAACGAGGAGGCCGGGAGCTAAAACCAGAGTCTCTGATCCCAGGCTCAGAACCGTCTGGGACTCCCCCCCCTCTCCTGGCACGTCTCACTCGCCCAGTCCAGAGCCTCTGTGTGAACAGTATCGCTTTCCTTTTGGGGGGCTGGTTTTTGGTGTCTCTACCCTCCGTGGAATCAGTGGCCTCCGGCTCGTTCCCAGACTCTTATCGGATCCTTCCCTTACTCAGCAAATGCTCCCTGCGCCCTACAACAGGTCAGGCACTGTGCTAGGAGCGGAGTACACAGGGCGAATGAAGCAGAGCGCCCCCTTCTCTCCCCGACTGGGCACGTAGGTGGGTGAGGGTTGACTCCCCAGGGTTTCCCCCACTCTTCACGGTGTAGCAGTGAATGTGATCCTGGGAGTCGGCCTCAATGCTAGAGTTGTATTTCCCATTAGTCCTACCACAGCCATCCTAGACGCATCCTGTTTATTTGGTCATAAGCTGGGTCAAGGCGACCACCCTGAGGCATTCCTCCTGATGACAGGGAGGGCCCGGGACCTAATCGGAATCCCACCTACCTCTGCATTCCCACGAGGGAGATGAGAAAAATCCTTATCTGTGTAAGACCTTTTGAATTGGCATCTTAACACCTGTACTTGATAGCTTCCAACGTAGGCATTAAACAAGCAAGTACAAAATTATAAGTACAATTTCAAATATAGCTGTTTACTGTGAAGGCAAAGGAAGTGTGATGGAAAAAAGAACCAGTAAAGGGGGGGTGTAGGCAAAGAAGAAACCTGCTTTAGATTAGATGCTCATGGAAAGTGTCTGGTGCCCTAGCTGGTTTGGCTCGGTGGTTAGAGATTCAGCCTGCGGACCAAAGGGTCCCGGGTTCGATTCCAGCCAAGGGGCATGTACCTCGGTTGCAGGCTTGGCTAGGGTTGGGGCGTGTGTGGGAGGCATCCAATCGATGTGTCCCTCTCACATCAATGTTTCTCTCCCTCTCTCTTCCCTCAGGTGAGGTTTTAAAAAAAAGAAAGTGTCTGAGAAGGGGATGTTAAAGCCGCTACTAGAGGAGGAGCCAGACCACAGGGCAGGGGGACAGGGGGTGTGCTGACCTTTGGGGCGGAGGAAGTAGAGCCTGCGGCGGGCCTGAGATCGGGAGAGCATCACGTCTAGACCGTTGGCCAGCAAAGGGAAGGAGAAATGTAGGAAGGTGGGTCCTGAAAGCCATGGAGAAAAAGTGGGTGAAGTAAGTGGGAAGTCAGTAGGATCTTTAAAGAAAGCAGAGGGTTAGGCTCTATTTTTAAAAGATCATTAGGAGTTGAAAATAGATTGTGGGCTTAGCAAAAATGGAAAAACTATGGATAGGAAACAATGGCCTAAGTCCAGGCAAGCTGCAGGGCGACACAGGAGAGACGGAGGAAAGCAGAATGGCAGGAAGCCCGTTTTGGAAGCAGGACCATCAGGGTTTGGTTGGTTATGAGACGGGTGAAGAGGGTTCCTGACTTGGACAGTCGCATGGTGGCGTCACTTTCTGTGCTGGGGACCTTGGAGTAGAGGAAGGAATTAAGAGTCAGTGTTCAATGTATTTGGTGCGAGGAGGCCCGAGATCCAGGTCATCCCGCAGAGCTCAGCCCGCTGATGACTTTGACTCGCCGTGAGCAGCGGCTCAGTGACAGGCAGTGGGAAGTTCTTTTCATCTGCCACCAGTGTGACTGGGCTCTGTTGAGTCTGCACGTGTAGAGCTTTCGCTCAAACCGCCCTGCCTACCCCATCCCCTGGGTGGCGTGTTCCTGAGCTCGAGCTCTGCTTAAATCCGGAGCCTCATCCTGCTCCGCCTTGCACACCGCTGCTGTGTTCCAGCCAGCGGGTCTGCTGACCGAACACCTGGCTTTCCTGACGTGATGCATGTTTCTGTTCGTGTCTCTTGCGTGAGTGATTTTCTTTCCAGCCTTACTGAGGTATAAAAAAACATATAAAGTTTAAAGTATACATCATGATGATTTGATATATATATTTGTTGTGGAAGAATTCCCCCATTTCATTAACATATCCATTGAGAACAATAAATTTTAGCGAATTTCAATTATATAATAACAGTGTTGTCAACTATAGTTACCATGTTTTACATTAGATCCTCGGAGCTTATTTACCTTCTATACCCTTTACCAACCTCTCCACATTTCCTCACCCCCCAGGCCCTGGCAGCCACTTTTCTACTATCTTTTTGTGAGTTTGGCTTTTTTTTTAAGATTCCACGCGTACGTACGGAATCTACGCAGTATTTGTCTTTCTCCATGTGGCTTATTTCACTTAGCATGATGTCCTCAGGGTCTTTGTAAATGGCAAGATTTCCTTCTTTCTCATGGCTTTTTGTTCACACTTTTTTATCTACTTATATGTTCTCTTCTACTCTTAAGAGATATAACTGCTCCTAACTGAGCAAGCCCCAGTTCAAATACAGCTTCTGTGACCAGGTTCCTGAACCCCCCTTACCCACTTCTGCACCTTATAAAAAGTGAGCTCGGACCCTCAAGTCCTCCAGTGCTCTTCTGCACCCCAGCCATGAGCTTCTAATTCATACTGCCTTGGACTTTGGCTGCACTGTCTTTTGTCTTTTTTTAAATTTTTAAATTTTTTTCAATTACAGCTTATATTAAATATTATTTTGTATTACTTCCAGGGATACAGGATAGTGGTTAAACAATCATATACTTTACAAAGTGTTCCCATTGCATTTTCCTATCAACTCTTATTTTAAAAATAAGATTTTAGAGAGAGGAAAGGAAGAAGGAAGGGAGAGAGAAACATCAATGTGAAAGAGAAACATTGATCCGCTGCGTCCTGCACGCACCCCGACTAGGGGCCGAACCCACAGCCTGGGCGTGTGCCCTGACTGGGAATCAACCAGCGACCTTTTGGTGCACAGGACCACGCTCAGCCAACTGAGCCCCTCGGCCAGGGCTTCCTATGAACTCTTTTATAGGCTCAACTAGCCTTGAGTTTTCTAGGGGCAAGGACTGTCATTGCTCTTTGTAATGCTCATAGACCATATCCTCTCCTTTGCAGGGCCTTAAATATTTGTTTAAAAAAATACATTTCTAGAGCGTCAACTGCAGCCGTAAGTTAATTACTTGCAACGTATAATACTGTACACAGCACTTAAAGTAGTAGATGAAGCACACTGACTTCTCCAAAATACTTGCTTAATTAGTGCAACACTTTTTTTTTTAATTTTGGTATAATTGACATATTCTTTTCAGGCATACAACATAATGGTTTGTATATTTGTATGTAAATATTCA